CGTCTCCTCACGTTTGAGGAATTTTCAAGCCTAACACGTGAACAACACAAATAGAGTGAGGTGGAGCACGTCAGATAGTTAGGCTTCACACGGGAGACAACTTACTCTGATACAATGAAGAATTTTGAGGTTTCATTGTAAAACTATATGAGAAATAATCCAACTTACTTATAAGCCCAAGCAAAATCACTCCTCCTATGGGATTTATTCTCAACATATATATATATCCTCGGTACTTGGATCTAACGGAGGACATGACACAAAACCGAGCGCAATGGCGTTCTAGGATTCATATAGCCGACCCCACTTAGTGGGAAAAGGCTTTGTTGTTGTTGTTGTTGTTGTATATATATATATCCTCGAATACCAATGCAACGCATCGCTGTGGAAGGGGTATCAAGAGTGGTCCATCATTTAGCGTTGTCATTTTGAGAACTTGGGAATAATACTAATATACTGGTTTCTGATTTGTTTTCTGCATAAGCTTTGTTACAACTATTTTCTAGTACTACAAGTGGGTTGTCAATGCTCCACCTTAAAAGCTAGACGTTAGGCGTAAAGGTGAAGGCACACCTCTTGACAGTTTTTGCTACAAGTACAAGTAAGCTAAGCTCTCTCCGGAAAAGAGAAATAAAACTATTTTTATATGACTTTTTTCAATATAATCATAGGGGATTGATCTTCTTGAACATTATTTGTATAATTTTCTGTCATTGGGCGTCGACGTTTTCTTAGGGTCAACAAGGGGCATGATTTGTTGCAGTTGTAACATTATATAGCTGCAAGCTGTAACTGCAGTAGCACTTCTGTAATTCTTGAAAATACGATTAGTCAACATTTGTGGATTAAGTCTAGCCGTAGCCTCCTCACCAATAATTAATCTATTTTCAATTGGTTAGTTTCTTCTGTTTGGACCGCGCGTGATGAGGATGAAGGAATTGGGTTCGTAATGGAATGAGTTTACATGTGTTTATATATGTATACGATATAACCCTTGTAAAGAGGGTTTCGTTTATATTAGTCACCAAAAGGGATCTCACTGTGAGCTCAACCACATCAACATGAAGTGTTTATATTTCTTAGATTATCATTCGAGGATTCTTCGAAAAAGTAATTAATAAAAAATCACTACTTCAAAAAGCCTACAAGAATAATTCTTAAATATGGGGACCTAAATCAAAAACCCTAATTGTATGAATTATTCTTAAATAGGGACCTAAAATGTAATGTCCACAGAACGTTGATTTATCGATGAGGCCCGGGGAGCAAGGGGGTTCGAATTTGGAAAATCTTCCAAAGTTGATAAGAAAAGTACCAATGACTAATAGTAATTTTGAAGTATTTCTTTTTGTACTGATTGGTGACTGATGACAAATAATCTTTATCCTTTAAACATTTTTACATGGTCAATGTGAAGTTTCATTTATCAAAATCACTAAATATATATACGAATCTTTCAACTTATATTTACTAGTCTATCATCTTGTAGTGATAGGTCGAGTATTAGATGGACCACAGCATCAATATAATTACTCTAGGTAGGCAGCGAATAAAGAGTAACACTTATGAAGAGAGAGAAGTCTAAGATGGTTAAAGCTGGATATGGATACGGTAAAGAGTTGGCACTGGTAAAGAATATGTATATACAGCGCTGAAGAGAAAGACCTGGAAATCATGGGCTTACATTTAGCAATTTACCGCACCTGGGGGAATGTTTGCTTTCTTTTGGTAAAAGAAGAATCTGAGTTTCTGAAAAGTTGCATCTAGTTATTGCAGGAAGCAAAGCTACAAGTACGTACTTCAGACCAGGCCTACATTGGGACCTAGCCCGACAATCATCGTAGCCAGTCTTGCAGGACAGAAAAAATTTAAGAATTTGTAAAAATTAGATCTCTATTCAAATATAACTGTCGTATGATCTTATTCAAGATTCCGGATTGTTAGCTAGGGGAACAGACTTTATACACAAATGCTTCTGCTCAAAGCTGTGTTTATCGTGTATATATGTAGGTTACTTTTTTACTTTTCAAGAAAATTTATTTACCATATCTATATATACCTTGCTATATTCCGGCTAAAAATATCTATCTAGGTAATCTAAAAACATTTTGTGCCATCTTTTACAGAAGAAGGAACAAAACAGTATCCTACATAAATAGTAAGCCAATTGTCCAATTCAAATGAAAACTAATTGAGAATGAGTTGAGAAATCAAAGAACTTTGAAGCATTAATGAAAATTTTCAATTCTCCAATTCGAGATGCTCCTCACTTGTGCTGTTTAATTAGTAAGCCTAACAGGTGTTTATCGCTTTGCACGTCGATAGTACATCTGGTCTTATAGTAGGGTTTAGGCTCCAAAACTAGTATAAGAAATCAAAGAACTTTGAAGCATTAATGAAAATTTTCAGTTCTCCAATTCGAGATGCTCGTCACTTGTGCTGTTTAATTAGTAAGCCTAACAGGTGTTTATCGCTTTGCACGTCGATAGTACATCTGTGGTCTTATAGTAGGGTTTAGGCTCCAAAACTAGTATAAGAGCAGGGTTTAGGCTCCTCCCAGAACATTTAGTCATTTGATTTCCAATATCGTGTCGTTCTTATTAGAAAAATTATGTTTCTATAGTTTAAATGACCAATTTTCAGTCTAAGCTGATTTGTTAGAGGCGCTAAACCATATATGGTTGTGAATAACTGCATTTGTAGTAGATATTATTTTCTGATTAAGGACATCCAGACTTGAAACCATAACGTAATTAAAAGGAGGGGAGCTATTCATTCTCTATTGTAAGAGAGAGAGCTATATTCGCCCTGTAAGGATTTTCTAAAGGAAACTTTAACGAAAAACTCCCGGTACTATTCACTTTAACGAAAAACCATATTTTTATATTAAAAAGTTAATCTTGATACTATTCATTTTACCATTTATTTTGTTTTTATCAGTAAAACTCAAAGTTTTCAAGTCTTTTTTCATTAGTTTTCCTTTTTCTAAAAGGTATAATACACACACACACACACATATATATATATATATGCATGTTATCTAATAGATCATGACAAAACTTAATCTTGAAAATGGACCTTACATGTACTTATAAATAATTGGGCTACTCCCCATATTGCCAATGGTTTTATGGTGAAACCTCAACTTTCTTCATGATATTAGAGCAGGATGTCTTACGTGTGAAGCCAAACGGCCACACGTACTCCACGTCACCCGTTGTGTTATCCATGTTAGGCTTAAAAATTCGTCACACATGAGAGACGTGTTGATAATGAATCTCACATTGATGAGAGGAATGGTCTTGCATGTGTTTATAAGTAATTGGGCTGCTCCCTATATTGTCAATTTGTTTTATGGTGGAACCTCAACTTTATTCACTATTGGGGTGGTGCCTGGTGGATAGACTTGGAGCTGTTATACGTGTTTCTTGGTGGAGGAAAATTGAGAAAGGTTACAAAATAAGGCCGAACTCAACCACATAATCGCCAAAAATGTTGTGTGGAAAGACTGGTCTTGACGAATACTGGTCTAATTTTTTGAATATGGAACACATATACTTCCTTTTATATCAAACGAATACGTACTGTTCTAGTTTCATTTTTTTAATTTTGTATTATTGATAATGGAAAATCTTAAATGTTGAAATGTTATACAGATGAGAATGATTACGATTTGCGAATTAAATAAAGCTAAGCTGAAGTCTTAAAATATTTTATACTAAATCATTCACTTGTACTCACTAAAGGAGAGCTTGAACCTATGTACTTGTGTAAACCCTTCACAATTAATGAGAACTCTTCTATTCCGTGGACGTAGCCAATATGGGTGAACCACGTACATCTTGTGTTTGCTTTCCTATCTCTATCCATTTATATACTTATCCACACTAATGACCGGAGCAATCTAGCGAAGATCACAAAAAGCGACCGTTTTCGCTACCTAGGATCTATCTTGCAAGAGAACGGAGAATTAGATGGAGATCTCAACCATAGAATACGAGTTGGATGGATGAAGTGTTAGAATGCATCCGGCGTGTTGTGTGACCGTCGTAGGCCACTGAAGCTCAAGGGAAAATTTTTATAGGACGGCAATAAGGCCAGCGATGTTGTATGGCACAGAATGTTGGGCGGTGAAGCATCAACACGTACACCAAAAATGGGTGTAGCGGAGATGAGGATGCTTCGTGGGATGTGTGGGCACACGAGAAAAGGATAAGATTGGGAATGAGGATATCCGAGGTAAAGTAGGAGTAGCCGAAATTGTAGGAAAGATGAGAGAAAATCGGCTCCGGTGATTTGGACATGTGCAAAGAAGGCCGAATGACGCTCCGGTTCGAAGATGTGACTACGGGACAGAGGTTCAGGGCCGAAGGGGTAGAGGAAGACCTAGGAAAACTTTGGAAGAGACTCTAAGAAAAGACTTAGAGTACTTGGATCTAACGGAGGACATGACACAAAACCGAGCGCAATGGCGTTCTAGGATTCATATAGCCGACCCCACTTAGTGGGAAAAGGCTTTGTTGTTGTTGTTGTTGTTGTAGTGGTGCAAGTTAACTATATATTGGAACCCTAAACCGTTCATAATAAAAGATGTTGGAATCAAGGTTTCACTGCCAGAAACATCCACGTTGATCAGCACATATGTAAATGCATTTTACCATGATATGAACTCCTCTATGAATTTATCAGAAATGACCAGGAAGTAAGAACCCTTTAATGCATGTGATTATAAATGGCTGGCTAACCAATCAAAGGCTCAAATCAGGACTTGGGTTTTCGGGAGAAGTGGCATTGCTGTGGTTTGTGGAAGTTAAGCCCTAATTGCGTAATAGAAACAATCCCCACGGAAATGTATGCTCAGAGACAGCAGCACAAGAAATCTGTAACAGAAAATGACACTGCACTGCTAGCTTTTATCTCACCCCATCACTACTACTAAAAACATTTTCTTTCATTAAAAATAAAAATAATTCCATAATTCCAACACCTTTATTTTCTTTAAGTTTATTCGTTACGATTAAGATATCATATGCTTTTTACGTCTTCTTCTCTTACATTTGTCGCAAGTTAAAATTCTCACACATAAGATCTAATTAATTATATCAACCAAGAGAATAATCTCAAACAGGTTCCTGTAAAAGCGAGTTAGGTAGAGTATACTGCATCTTACTCTTGCCGACTTAGACATGAATATATGAATCGTCTCCATCTGCTAGCTGCAAACACACGCACACGCCATAATAAGCTTATACATCAGCCGTCCCTTAATTTCTTGTTTGGTGAAGAATCAAGATGGTACTGCCGGTCGGCCATGCCCAAGCCGAAGCTCTAAATCAAGCTCTTCAAAATTGCCCTTTTCGGTTCCAGACTTTGAGGGTTCCGGATCATCACGAGCCGATGATTTGTTTGAGTGACAATATTGGGAATTAGAATTGCTTCTTCCAGCTGGTGGCACAACTGACACTAAGTAGTCATGAGGTGGAATATTGGGTGAAATTGAAAGAAGAGTGGATGGTGATGATGACTCAACACCATGGCCATGTGTTCTACTCGAGCTCATCAAACTTGTCGCAGTATTGAAGGATGCACCATTTATACTATCAGGGCTTGGCAATTGGTAAACAAGGCATAATCCACCATTTGCATTCACAAATTCTTGAGTTGGGATTATGAATGAGGAAGTGGAAGCTGATGAGACTGCTGCCGGGCTCATCTGGAGGGGATTGGTGGAGGCGGGCCCGGTCACGGCGGTGCACATTCATGTGGCCTCCTAGGGCTTGAGCGGATCGGAATTCCCTTCTACAAAATGTGCAAGTGTAAGACCTTGGAGGCCATGTGGTGCCCATTACATTACCGGTGTCCTCCGCAAAGGCTCTCACCTCCCATGAGTCATCTTCGGGTTCTTGAGCTGGCTTAGGGTTCCACATCCAGGCTTCGGGGACCAAGTTAGGGTTTGATAACTGGGTTTGATTTTGATTTTGTTGTGATAGAGCTAAGTTCTGGAGATCGGTCCGGGTGAGAAGGCCAAGTTCAGCCATGGTAGTATGGTACTTGTACTAACATTTAAGATATGTAAGAGATATCGATGGATGAGTTGATGGGGAAGCAAATGGTGAAACGGGTTAAATAGGGGGAATGGGCTAAGGAGAGGAAAGGGTAGAGACAAAATGAAACCCTAACACCGAGTGTATCACCAAAGTTGGGCAACAAGCAGTTGGATTTTAGTACAATACACATTTAAATAACTTAGGCCACCTCCACTAGCTGTGTTCTGTATACCAGACAGTTACTTTGGCTTCAACGTCAATCCATATGTGTTTACTGGTTCAAAATTCAAATATCCCAAACACAATATAAATTAATGAGATAAATCCTTAATTATTGAGTTAATTTATAGATGCGAACTGAAGGAAAAACACAGAACACAGATATAATTATATGGTCTTATTAGTCATTAAGCTAAAAATGATCAAAAGACCATCTATTTGTAGCTTCATTTGTCTATCTCTCTAAGAGAGGTATGTATGGCTCATCAACACATGTGTGCCTCATCTTTATTAAAAATATGGAACAAATGATGGTACAAATAGATATTGGTTGATATTAAGTGTAGCATTACTAAAAAATTATTTCTAACTAGCAGTGTAATTTACCATATCCTTCATATAAAATAAAGACCTAAAAAACAAAACAGACATGAGAAATAAAGAGGAAATTAAGTACTTGTTGGAACTTAGGGCCAATTTGGGATTGTTGCGCATTTTAGAATAATCAGCTATAGCCATTTAGTACTACCGTCTAGTGGTATTCCTCTTCACTTATAAGTGAGAGGTCTTAGGTTCGATTCTAGCCAAAGGCGAATTTGAACCACATTATTGTTAGCTTATTGTGAGGCTAAGCTCACCCCTCCCCTTTAGTGTAGATAATATCGTTTGTTTAAAAAAAAAAAAACAGAATGATCAGCTGTAAAATAAAGCAGTTGGGCGTTTGATAAATTTTAATGTAAAAGTGAAATAATTGTATCTAATGAAAAAATGGACATGGTAGTGGAGGTGGCGGCGATGATAGTTGTGGCAAGGCCAGTAGTGGTGGTGGGGTGAGGGGTCTGGATTAGGATATATATATAGGTTTCATAGTTCAAAATTAAGTTTTTTCTGTGTACTCAGATGTCATAAAAATGAAGATGAAGATTGGCTTTCGTTTTTAGAAGGGTGATACTGGAGAGATCATTTACTTGAATTATATTTTTGTAGTGGTTGATAGTTGGATTCCTTTTTAAATCATTAAAACAAGAAATCAACCATCAACCGGTACTCATATGGTCTATAAAATATGATCTAAAAAGATGATTTTCCTAATATTTTTCTTTTTACAAAAATAAAGAGAATATGAGACTTAGAGGACTATCACATACAATGATATTAGGGTAAAGCACAAAAAACTACCTCAACTATTGGTGTTACGACACTTTCATATCTCATCTTTTTAAAATGACAATGTCATACCTTACCTTACAAATTTGTGTCAATGTCATACCTCCGTTAGTTTTTCTATTAATTTTTCTGTTAAGTGTTAACGTGGCTAGATACAGGGACCACTCACTAATCCAACTAGATTAAAATATAATTAAATATATATTTTAATAATTAAAAATTAAAAATATTTTTTTATATTAAATTGTGGGATTCATTTCTTTCTCTCTCTCTCTCTCTCTCTCTCTCTCGCCTCTCTCTCTTCTTTGCATCCCCAAAATACCAAAGCCCAGAAACCCTTCCCACCCGTCCCTCAACCTTCCTCCACCACCCTCTTTCTCTCCTTTCTCTCGCCTCTCTCTTCTCTCTCTCTGGGCAACCTGCGTCCTCAAAATACTAAAACCCAGAATCCCATTACAAATCTCAAAACCCAAAATCCCATCAAACCTCCCTTTCTTCCTTTTTTTTCTGTAGCAGAACAGCTGTGGGAACCGCCGGAACATCGACATCGCGTTGTGGCGGGAGAAGCTGATTTTTTCTAGGTAGTCGATTCGGGGCAGGTGCTTGTTTGCGTCCCCATTTCCATTCCCACTCTCCTCATGCCAACCATTCCTTGTCTGCGTCTCTGGTACCAAATTCTCACTGCCATTACCACCTCCGCCGCCATCCAAGTCCCTCTTAAGCAACTCCAACAGCTGCTTTTGTATCCCCTGCTTCTGTTTCCCACTTATGCCCCCACTATTCTGCCTCTTCATATCATCAGTCAGGTCAACGATGCTGTTCTGGATGGGCACTATCAAGTCCTGCATCCCAAACCCATTCCAAGACGAATTCATGGACGACAAACCCATATCCCAGTTCTGGTGCTGCGGGTCAGGTCGAGCTGGTAGACTCTTATCCTGGAGATCCAGACCCAAAAGAGACGCGAGCTCGAGCGCTGAGGGACGACCGAAAAATCCTTCAAGAGGCGTGCAATCATGAGCGGCGGTGACGGAGCAGCTGCCGTGGGCGTCCTAATCGTACTTTTGGCAGAGAACGAGTTTGTCGGTGGATAAGCGGACGGAGACGACTTCGGAAGCGTAATTATCACAGATTTGAGAGCGCACATGCTTCTAAGAGAGCAAGTTAACGGAGTGCACGTGCTGATCGCAGAACAAGCAAAGCTTGGCGAAGTCTGCCCCGCAGTAGAGAACCGCTGGCTGGTCGCTGCACCTCTTCTACACCTCCAGATTTGGGGCTCACCATTTCCAAAATCCCTAATTTCCTACCTACCAGTATCAAACTATTTCAAATTTTGCAGAAAAATTCAAAGTTTCAAACTTTGAGAGGGAGATAAGTGAGAGAGAAAGTGGTGGAGGAAGGTTAGGGGGGGATGGGTGATAAGGGTTTCTGGGCTTTGGGATTTTGGGGATGCAGAGAAGAGAGAGTGGCGAGAGAGAGAGAAGTGAATCCCACAATTTAATATAAAAAAAATATTTTAATTTTTAATTTTTAATTTTTAATTATTAAAATATATATTTAATTATATTTTAATCCAGTTGGATTAGTGAGTGGTCCCTGTATCTAGCCATGTCAGCACTTAACAGAAAAATTAACAGAAAAACTAACGGAGGTATGACATTGACACAAATTCGTAAGATGAGGTATGACATTGTCATTTTAAAAAGATGAGGTATGAAAGTGTCGTGACACCAATAATTGAGGTAGTTTTTTGTACTTTACCCATGATATTAATACCACATTTTTATACCACGTTTTGTAACAAATGGATCATAACAATCAATTTGAGATTTTATTTCATTTAATATTGGATTTTTCTCATCGAATGCCACGTATTGTGGTATAAAATATAATATAAAAATATATCAAGTGTAGTATTACTCGATATAGAGAAATTTTTAAATTTACCCTTATATTAAAGTTTATGTTTAACGAATAATATCACTAGAAAGTTATTTGAGTAGATTACCAGATTGCCAACACCAATTTATTTAGGAGTAATTAGGTTTTCATCCTTATTTTTACTACTCTATTGATTAAAACCTTATTACTTTTCAATTTTTGATCAAGGTCCTTTGTATTAATAATATCATTAATTATTTCAATAATAAAATATTTTTTATTTCTAAATATATTCATTTAATATTAAAAATGTTACAATTAGTATATTTATATTTATGGCTAAATTTTTTATCATATATTTTTATTTTTAGTTTGTACCCATTTTTAATTTGCAACCCTTTTTTAATTTGTACCAATTTTCCTTTCAATTTTAATTTGTACCCATATATTAATTTCTTTTTGTGCCCATATTTTTTAAAGTTTTATTTGTATTGTACCCATATTTTTTTATTTATTTGTACCCATTTTTATTTTTGCTAAATGTACCCATTTTGAAGAATGTACCCATGTTTTGATACAATAATTTTTTGGTTATTTTTATGAATGTACCCATGTTTACACACACACACACACACACAATAGTATATTTATATTTTAATATTTTTAATCCCACAAATTATGTTTTTTATTTAAAATCTCATTACTATAAACAACTATAAATTTTAATTTTTAATTTAAAAAATATAGTAACGTACATAGAAATAAATTATCAATTAATTTTAGGGACTTGAATCAAAATTTGAAAACCAACAAAGTTTTAGTCAAAGATTATTCATAACTAGGGACCGCATCCAAAGTCTCCCATTTATTTATTATTCTTGATAGGAGGCCGAAAAGATACAGTAAACCTCATAAGAATAAATTTGATACATTATGATTTAGAACAAGAAGAAGAGTTCTGATTAGCAATTCTAGTGTTAATAGTGAAGAATAGTTCTTTTTTTTTTTTTCTTTTCCTGATGATTATTTTTTGTGGAGTTTGTTTCCAGCCCAAAATACATTTTTATAAGGGAAATGACGAGATGAATCTCCCGGTTCATTTCTTTTTACCGTTTTGGTCTTGTAAAACTATTTAAACAACCTTTCGGGTTTATCTTTTCATTCTATTATCAATGAAATTGGAAACTTCTCTCAATTATCTAGTGTTCCAACTTTTTATTCTAAGGTGACCATTTGTGATCCCCTAAATCTATAACTTTTATGTTGTGTCACATTAAAACACTTACAAATGTCATCACTAAGCACACTACATCTAAAGTCTAATATTCGATTATCCCTTTGTCTGATATTGTGTGCATAGAAAATAAATGAATACAAAATTGGAGCATTGAACCCTAAACTTTGACAGATAGTGGATCAATTAATGGTTCTATTGTTTAACAACGTTAAATTCCATTTGAAACAAAAATGTTTAAAAATGGACAAAACTTCTAATGGGTTACTTAAAAGACCATTTCTACATATTATAAGAAGTATATATAAGGACTAATACTTAAAATTTTAGTTCATGACCTAAAGCTCCAATGACTAAAGTTCAGAAACCATTTCATTCAATCAACTTTAGAAAGAAGCTCATACCATAACCTCTATTCCATTATGGTTCAATAGGTTGGAGTTACAATTCCTGTAAGAAATTTTCTTTTGCTGCTATTTTTTCTCTCTTTTTCCGAAATGCCTACTTAGTAGTTACAAAAGTATGTTCAATCAATCAAACGTATAGCCAACGTATACTCCACCTGGATGTGGACTGTCATAAACAG